CACGCTGGGGTCACGCTGGGCCTCTTCCGGCCACTCCACGTGGTACGGTTGGCCTCAAGTCCCAGCCGGAGGATCGCCGTCTTCCCCATCTTTTTTGTTTTTATTTATTTTTTTGAGTCCGGGTCTCCCTCTGTCAACCAGGCCGGAGTACAGGGGCCGAATCACGGCTCACGGCAGCCTCAATTTCCTGGGCACAGGCGATCCTTCTGCCTCGGCCTCCCGAGTCGCTGGGACCCCAGGCGCCCACCAGCACGACCAGGTAATTTTTTGATTTTTTTTGTAGAGGCTAGGTCTCACTGTGTTACCCAGGCTGGTCTCAAACTCCTGGGCTCCAGCGATCTTCGCGCCTCGGCCTCCTAAAGTGATGGGATTGCAGGCATGAACCACCGTTCCCAGCCGTTGTTCCCATTTAAAAAAGCAAAAGTGAACAGACAAACAAAAGGCCTTCCCAGCCCTTCCTTATTGACCTATTTCCTTGCTCCAAGAGGGATTCCTTGAGCAGGCGAGATTCGTTTGCCCAGTTCCCTCCCTCCACTAACATTCATTTTTTAACAGATTTCTGAAAGGCCTCTGATGGATTCATTCCACTGTGTTGATGGTAGTTATCCCAACACACACGATTTTTAAAAGTGCATTTAAAAGCACTATATAGGCCGGGCACGGTGCCTGTAATCCCAGTACTTAGGGAGGCTGAGGTAAGGGGATTGCTTGAGCCCACGGGTTCAAGACCAGTCAGGGCAACTTGGTGTGACATCGTCTCTACAATAAATCAAAAAATTAGCTGGGCGTGGTGGCGCGTGCCTATAGTTCTGGGTACTTGGAAGGCTGAGGGAGAAGGATCGCCAGAGCCCAGCAGCTTGACCCTGGGGTAGCCATGAGCATGCCACGGCACTCCAGACTGGGTAACAGAGTCATATATACTCAGTACAGAAGATGAAAACAAAAACATACAAAGAAAAAGACATTTTAAAACTCAGCCTTCAAAGGTTACCACTGTTAATAGTTTGGTGTATTGACGTATATTCTATCTAGTCTTTATTAAAAGACTATCACATCACACTGCTGCTCTAATTTTGTAGCCTGGTTTAATTTTTATTTTTGTTTATGGTTTTTGAGTCAGGGGTCTCACTCTGTCACCCAGTTGGAGTGCAGTGGCACCATCACGGGGGCACATGGCAGCCTCCACCTCCTGGGCTCAGGCGATCCTTCTGCTTCAGCATCCTGAGTAGCTGGGACTACAGATATGTGCCACCATGCCTGGCTAAGTTTTTGATTTTTTTGTGTAGACAAGGTTTCACTATGTTGTCCAAGCTGGTCTTGAACCCCTGGGCTCAAGCAGTTCACGTGCCTTGGCCTCCCATAGTAGTGTTGGGATAACAGGCATGAGCCACTGTGCCTGGCTGTAGCCTGCTTTAATTTCTAAATAAAAGTAACATGAACATATTTAAAAAATTTCAAACACTTATTTTATAATAATAATTAGCTGTCCCCTGCCCTGCGTCTCTACACACAAATTCCTCATATATGATATCAAAGACAATCATTTTCAAATATTTTAACTTTTTTTCTGGTGTTTATCTTCAAGTTGTGAAATAATTTGTTTATATATTTTAAATTGATTACAAGTCTTAATCATTCAACTGATGTATGCCATAAAGTGATATATGTGATTCCCCCCCCCCACCAAATTTAGGTTTTTATCTCTTACTATGATGGAAAGTGAGATGTAGCTCACTGGCAGTGGCCTCCAAACACTGCTGCTGTGGACTGAGGGAGAAGTTGTGTTGATTTCTTTTCCTGGACACCAAAGCTTCCCCAGTTGGAGGAAATGAGATGATTAAGCTTATGGTGTAAAGAACAATGAATCATTTGCCAGTTCTCTCCAGGATAGTCATTCTGGACTTTTTTTTTCCCTTCAACTATTTGACTTGTTCCCATCTTTCATGTTGGTTGCTTTTCTGAAATATCTGGTTATTTCTGGCTACTTATATAACAGTGAGGCACTTAAACAAAAGCTGATTGAATCTACCTGTATCGTAAGGGCTGGTGCACTGGTGGACTCTTGTTTTGTGTGATTTGATTGGAACCCGTCTTTTTCTTGGGCCACCCTAAATGTTGATATAGATCTTTTCTGTTGGGTTCTCAAGTTTCTACAGAGAAGATATAGTTTTACTGTGGAATATGGTTTTTGCTGCCAGAATATTTCAGTAGAAGCTGTGGAAGTAGTCTGGGAGGGGGAGACCTCATAGTTTGGGGTGCAAACTTTGACGTAATCCCTCATTTTCAGTACAGTGCCTTATTCCCTCCTTTGGTTGTTCCCTGCCCCTTTGAGCATAGGTCCTCCTGGAAGAGATAAGTCCTGCTTCTGCCAGATTAGTGGAAGAGCAGGTGCCTGACTGGCTGCAGAGGTTGGGGGATTTTCAGATTCTCAGCTGGTCCCCATGTGTGCAATTTTCAGTAGCTGATGCCTGCAGTTCCTGAGCTGTCCAGAACTTTGTCTTGGAATTGGTGGGCTGCTTCTTGTCATCTTCCTCTGCAGGCTTCAATTTCAGATGTCTTTTAAGTCAGTTAATATTCTTCAGTCCACTATCTTTTATAAAAGATATTATTGATGTTTTATTTTCTGCTGTCTCTTTCTTCTGGTTCCTTTTGTGGGATGCTGCCTTTCTAATGCCATGATGATTATTTTAATGGGGTTTTGGGAGAGTATAGAGGTGAATGCCCAAGTGCAATCTGCTGTGTTGAATGAGGAATGTTAGTGGGCTGTCTGCTTGGTGAGTTTTTTCCCCCTGGCACTTAGTATTTCCCCATAATGTGCAATTTTAGTGCCTGTATGGTGATCCTTTGTGTGATTATACTGTGCTTTATTGTCCCACTCCTCTGTTGCTAGGTTAGGTGTTTCTAATTTTTTGTTAATATAAATGTTTCATTTCGTATCTGTATTTATATATTTTTTTCTAGTCTTTACCATTGTTTTCTTAGGTTAGACTCTTAGAAACAGAATGACTGTGTATATAAGCATTTTTAACACTCTTGAATTTACCTTTCCAGTTTGCTTTTTGAAAGAGTCATATCAGTTTGTGCATCTACCAGACATGAATGTGTGTAGCCATTTTATTGCGGATAACACTTCTCCCTGCTGGTGTAGGCATGGCCATGCCTACTAAGTGGGAAGAAAAAGATGAGTTGAACCAAATTAACTTCAGCAATTCTGTCAGCCACGTGCTATGACACTTGGCTGTCTGAGGTCACGTCCTGGCTATGTGACCGAGAGCAAATTATTTAACTGCTCTGGGTTTTGGTTTCTCCCTTATAAAGTGGAGGATAATAGGAGTGATAATAAATGAACAGACTTAAGTTTAGATTTTTGCCTGGCTGACAGGAATGGAGAAGTGCAAAACCAATAAAATCAGTTTCTTAGGTAGTAATGATAAGATTGTCCTTGTTGTTGAAAAGTGACTTATGGGGGGACTTATCTATGAGGGGGGAATTATCTTTTGGAGGGCAGGCCCCCTGTAGTACACTCAGGATTTATTCCTCTGGGTCACACAGTCAACCAAAGTTTTTATCTGGAAGTTTTGAGAAGGTTGTGTCACAATTTGTGGAAGAAACATCTTGAGTTGTGGCAGACAGGTGACTGGTTCTTCCACCATGACAATGCACCTGTCCACATGTGTTCAGCAGTTTTTTACCAAAAATGACATGACCCCCATGCCCTACCCTCCCTATTCACCCGATCTCACGCTGAGTGACCTTTTTGTGTTTCCCCGTATGAAAAAAGTTCTCAGAGGGAAATGTTTTGCCTGTGTGGAAGAGGTGAAACAAAAAATGGCAGAAGCACTAGAGGGCATCACAATTGACAATTTCATAAACTGTTCTGAGTAGTGGAATAAGCGTCTCAATGGGTGTATTGTATCAGATGGAGAGTACTTTGAAAGTAACTGACAAGTGTAAACATGTAAGACTAGGACAGAATTTTTAGTAAATAAATTTCGCTATTTGGGTTTCCACCTTGTAAAACAAAATCAAACACTATAAAAAATTACAAAGAAGAAATTAAAAGCCTCACGTCAAATCTCACCATTTAGAAGTAATGTTCACCTTTTGTGAGCAACATCTAGAAGTTTCCACAGCCAATGTAGAGAGATGGATGAACTCTTACCATACGTGGTATTTTACTTAAAGGTATAAAATGAATTGAAGTTAATTAAAGCAAAGGAAAGAAAACTAAAGTGAGTTTGAGAGAATGGCTGACTTTTCTGCAAGAAAGGTTAGTGCTATCTTTTAGAAACTAAATTTATAAGAAAAGTTGATAAATATTAAGAGATTAGAATAATTTCTCATAAACTGTATGTTTCAAATTGAGACTCCCTCCTTTGAAAGCTAAAA